GTGATGGGAAAAAAGACAAAGAAGTGAGAGACATCTGGATATTCCCACTGCTGAGTTACATCAAATAATAGTTCAGGTTGAAAGGAATTGCAGGGGATCTATAGTCAAAATTTCCACTCAGACCAGGATCAGCTGTGAGATCAGGTTAGGTCTTGAAGACCTCCAAGAATGGAGATGACACAACGTCTCTGCAAACCTGTTCTACTGGTGGAACAGAGTGGAAAAAGTTTCTCCTTGTCTGAACATCTTTGGATTCGATCTGTGAGTGTTGTCTCTTGTTCTCTAGCCATACATTGCTGTGAAGTGACTGGCCACATCTTCTTGATAACCTTCTTTTAGATACTAGGGCACCTGTTATACATCCTGAGGTTGTCTCTTCTCCAGCCTGAACATACCAAGTTCCCTCAGTTATTCTGTGTACTTCAGTCCCCCGACCATGTTGGTGACCCTTCCCTGAGCTCACTCCAACTTCTTTCCTGTGTTACGGGGAAGGTGTGTGCTTAAAACTGGTCATTATCCTAGACTTGTTGTAATGAGTGCCAAATAAAAGGTGATAAATTACTTCCCTTGACCTTCTGGCTATGCTACTACTAATACAGCCCAGGGTGCTGATAGCTATCTCTACTTGTATGTCATGCTGCTGATTTGTGGCTAGCTTGCTGTCTACCAAAACTACCATGTCCTTTTTGAGCATAGCTGCTCCCCAACCAGTTACCAGCCATATTGCTGCAGGGGATTTTACTTTTCCTAAATTCAGATCTTTGCATGCAACATTGTTGAATTTCAGAAGGTTCATGCTGGCCTGTTCCTCCTCCCTGTCTAGGTTCTAGGGAATGGCAGCCCTTCATGTTGTGTCATGACCAACCCCTACCCAGTTCACTGTTATCCGCAGACGTGGTGAGATTGGACTCTTGGCCTAATCCAGGTGATGGATAAAGATGTTAAACAGATTTTAATACAGACTTCTACAGTGTTCCACATGTTACCAGCCCGTACCATCTGAGCTTTACCATCAAACTATTTTTATTAATTTTGTCTTTCACATACCTAGACTGAAGTGCTAACTTGGCTATAAAATACTGTGTGAGACAGTCTCAAAAGCCTTCCTAAAGTTGAGTTATATTTAATCTGCTTGCTCTACTTTTGTCCACAGATCTAGTCATTTTATCATGGAATATAACTGAGTTGGCCAGACTATGGTAAACCCTCACTGATTGTTCCATATCACCTTTTTCTCTTTCATGAGCCCAGAAATTTCTTCCAAGAGGACTGGCTTCCTGAGCTTCCTGGGGCTGAAATGAAGCTAACTGGTATATAATTCCTTGGCTTGTCCTTTTGCCCTTTTCCAAATACAGATGTGACTTTTGCCTTTCTCTATTTGCCAAGGACCTCCCACAATCTTTGTGAAGTTTCAAAGGTGATAATGAGCAGCTTCACTGGGACATTGGCCAGCTTTGTGAGACCCTTGAGTGTACATGAGCTGGCCTCTTCAACGTCTATGGCATGAGTTCTTACAAGTCCTGAACACAGTCCTCACCCACTGCTAGCAATTGTTCTCTCTGAGCCCTTTTACTGATCACAGAGGCTTGGGAGACCTTGTCAGGGAAGACTGAGGAAAAAACACGTTGAGTGTGGTCACCTTCTTGGTGTCCTCTGTTGATAAATCACAGCTCCTGTGTAGGAGCAGATCCATGTTTTCTTTCTACCCTAATGTAGTGGTAAACTGTCGTCTTCTTGTCTTTATCATCCTTTGCAAACATCAATTCTAGGTGAGCTTTTGGCTTTCCTCACACTATGCCTATATACTCAGGCAATCTTCCTAAATTATTCCCTGGAAGAATTTAGAAGTGTCTGCTTCTGTCTCCTGTATGCTGTTGTTTGGCTTTGTAGCTTTCTCATGAGTTGCCTGTTTAGCCACACCAGGCTCTTTATATATCTGATTTCCTGAGTACAGGTGGACTGATGCAGTACTGAAATTTTGGGAACTGTCTGCTGGTGGAAGTATTTGAAATCGTGCCATTCTGAGTAGAATATAGTCAGATATATGGAAACTGCAGGAGCAATCTTTATGCTTGAAATCAGGGTTGGTTATGCAAGTTGTGAAATGGTCTTTCTGAAGAGAGCTACTGTGTTAATTAAGTATGAAAAATTCTGTTTATTATATGTAATTTGGAGGCCATATCCAAATGACCAGATAAATTTATGACTGGAAGCCTAACACAAGCACTGGTAACGTAACAGAATGTAACCTCTTCTTGAAAAGCCTTTCAAGGGGAAAGGAATATATAGGAATATAGGAAAGAAATATATAACTTCCTTCAGTTAAAAAAAAGCCCCTTCAGAAGCCATGATATGTGCTGTATCCATTTATTATCTTTAAAAGTATATAGTATACTTGACAAAAGTATTTTTGATAAAAATGTTCTAATGCTGAAACTTTCCAGATTAGAAAGAGAGTGTTTCTCCGCAAGCAAGCAAACAAATAAGAAGATTGAGGTAAAGAAGAAGGTAATTAAAGACCTTTCTGAGAGACTAGAGAACAATGAAGAAACCTGCAGAGAGTTACAGGAGGAACTTGCAATGGTAAGACAAAAGGCCTGTGGCACTCATTGTTCAAGGATTTTTAAATATACTGTGATTTGCAAATCTGCATTTGCTGTACTGCGCTGTGGAAGAATTCTGCCATTGTCTTACTCTGATTTTACTAATGTTACTTTGTTTTGTAAAACATGAGCAAATATAGCTAATACACTGGAGAAGCTATTTTGAAAATGTATTCTAAGTGATACACCATATATTTAACTGAAGAGTTATTTGCAGAAAACAATTATTTTAAAAGTATGGCTGTGAGTAAGAGTACTTGTGTTTGCATTCGTAGCGAAGAAGGCAATTTGTAGATATGGATTATGATTCCTTGTGGACAATGTTCTGTCTTTCTACCCAAGTGTTTTTCTTCTCCAAACTTTATTAGCTACTGGTGTAGGCTTGTTCATTTCTATTTCACATAACATTTTTTTTTTTAGTGCAAGCATTTGACTGTAAAAATGCTTGAAATTTACTTGTTTGAGGGTGACAAAGCAGAGAGCTTTATTTGTTTTGTTTTGGTGTGGATTTTGTATGTTGGATATATTTGGATTATTTTCTGAAATCTTTCTCCTTTTATATGACCAGCTGGGGCCTTCCCACTGCCTCTGTTCACTTCAACTTTGAATAAACAGGTTTGCCATCCTGTTGCATACCAGCAGGGACAAAGCAAAGATCTCACGATATCTAGAAAACCTTCTCTCCTTCCATTTTGCAGTGGCATTTGCAGTATTTCTATCTTAGCCAATGTGATTTTTTTTTTTTCATATACTGGCTCGCAAATTTCTCCTCTTTGTCAGAGCTCTGTGTATGGAAGCCAAATGTGGTCTTTTCCCTGGTGCTCACAGGCATTGTGCTAATCAGTGAGCAGGAGCAGAGACCCACATCAGACGATCTTCAGACTTTATGTCTTCTATTGAGTTGATTAAGTTATTCCGTACATTGTCTTAACATTATCCACTTCCCAGACAGATTGATAACTGATAAATGGAAGAAAAATAAATTCAAAACCCCCTCTTACTTCTGGGAGAATCAGAGATGCTTCCTTGCAAGTACTAATGTGTTAAAAGGAATTTGCTGGCCTGAAAAAGTAATCTCATGAGGCACAAAAGGAATACGAAGAGACAAAAGCAACTGTCTCTCCTAACTAAAGTCAGTAATGATTGCTATTTATTAATATAGAATACAACTCCAAACTGAAGAATTTCTACTAGGAACCTTGAGTGCTTGTTAGCTGTTGCTGTGGTATGAGTTTTCATTTTCTGTTCCTTAGTAAAATGTATGTTATACTTGATAAGAATTCAGGGCAAAATTCTGTTAATGATCAAGGTTTCTGGTCATGACAACAGTATGAAATGGTGTACTCAGAATGAACATTGCATTACTGAAAGGTAAAAAGTAGAATAGGTCATCTCAGTTAAAAGAACGGTCTTATTCATAAAGCCAGTTGTTTTAATTGTTTTACTGGAATGATTTCAAACCACAAGACTGTCTTGAACAGGTAATAAAAATACTCATTGTCTGAGGAGTTGTATTAGTGGTCTCCTATAGGATTAGGTTTTTATCACCTTGGATGCCTTTGTATTTTTTCTGAAGACTCTTGTGTTTTTTTGGGAAGCAGGAGTGCCTGTGTGTGGTCTTGTTTACTCAGTCTGGACAGCTTTTTGTTATTTTTTCTTCCCAAAATGAAAAAGCAGAAGGCTTTAACAGAAACTGAGTATAGATAACATGTCATACACTGTTATTAGGCTTTCCTATGCCCATACTGAAATGGTGTGAAAACAGCAGTGCGTTCTTTTCCCTTTGTTTCCCCCTCCTGCTTTCTTGATCTATTCATTACTTTCTTAGGTTTTACACTACTGTTGGATATTCTGAATATATCCTTTCTACTCCAGTCTGATAATCTTGTACTGGTTTCTCACTGTACTGCTATTATACAAGTAATGGTTTTGTTTGTAAAATATTTGGGAAATACAACCACACCAGTGAAGTGTCTTTGTTTTTAGAGGAGCAAACTTATGCAGGAACAAAATGCATTCTTTGTAAACTTTAGATGAAAAGGAACGTTTTAAATTACTCTGTTGAATGTATAGTAAAGTAGTTATGCTGCTTTTAATTTTAAATATCAGCATGTGGCAGAAGTTTGCCAAAAATTTGCATGGATCAAATGTGATAGGAACTGTTGGTATCAAACAAAACTGCTTATGAATGTTCAGCTTGAGCAGACTCTCAAGATTTCCATTATGTTTTTTTCAAGGAAATTGGTCTCAAGCTTGTCATTATTTCCAGCTAGGGTTTTTAGAAATTTTTAGCTTGAAGAATAGCCATTGTGATTCAGAACTTGTTTTAAATTGAAACAGCCCCAGCTGTATTCCTGCCCCATGGAAAGACTAAGAAGTGTCTTTAATAGTTTCAAAAGTTACTCAGGATATTTAGATTTCTGGCACCTAGTAGTGGATGATCTTTAATTCTTAGTACTGGACAAGTGGGAGGCATTGAACCTTTATTTTATGAGAAATGTAGCATATAAATATTTCTCGTGTAGCCAGGCATGCAGTTGTGTGCTGTATGCATCTCAGCTGTCTGTAATAGCCCTGTAGTTTATTGTAAGCTGAAAATCAGAAGTGTTTTTAGACTCTAGTTTCTGGACATGGGGATTAACCATTGTTCTTTAACAGAAGTGTCTTAGGTATTGGCTGAACCAACAGTGACACACCCTGAAGATTATGGTTCTGTTCTACAGATTCTAGGGAGTAGAATCTGGTATTCAGTGACAAAGATGTAAATCTCATCTAGATTATTTGTTGTGAACAGAGTTTCTTCTTTCAATTTAAAAAAAAACAACCAACAAAACAACTGAGACACAGTCTTCATTAATTTTGTGCTAATGCTTTTTAAAAGTTACATTACCTTGATTCTTGTTCTGCATGCTTTAACTCAGAGGTGTGGTGTCCCTACCCCGATGCTTCTTCTGTTATTGTCCTAATTTAAGAAGGCTGATCAGTCTGAAGCATATGCTTAAATGATCTTCTACAAAAAAAAACAATTCCATAATTTATTATGAAAGTGGAAAGGTCACTCATACTGTGATGTCCCACTGTTTGAAGGCAGGCATCTAAAAAATGCTTATAAAGGTGCCAGTTCTTGAAAAATTTTCTGTGACTAAAAAAACCCATACCAAATAAACCCCGAAAAACCAAAGAGATACTTCATAACATGCTCTTCCACCAGAAGTTTGTTACTTATCTCTTTAGGGGACTAGAACAGTTCCACATAAAACTTGAACATTTTAAAGTAATTTTATTTCAGGTGACTAAAATAGAGACATTAAATTTCTTAAAAAATTGTATTTAATTTACACATGACTAAACTCTTTTTGAAGTGGAATTTGGAAAATTCTAGCTAATATAAGAAAATAAGGAAACTCTAAAGTATTCAATAGTTTGATAACATGAGGAAAAATATATTAGTAGCCTAAGGAGACAGATTGTCAGTGAGGGTTTTGTTTTGTTTTTTATACTTCAATTTATGCTTAGTTGCTTAAGATTTGTGCCACTATTCTGTTATACAGAGTATCACTCAGGTAAAACCCATGTTTTTTAAACTGTGAAGCAGTAATTTGGTGTGTATTTCTGTAGGTGCTTTGATTTGGTTCCCCCAAGGTCATGCCTGGTAAACATTCTGATGCCTTTGAAAATAATTTACCCAAATGCTTTTCAAGGAGTATCTCAACATACTGCTTTCTGGTGGCTGCGTGGATAGTTCTGGCTTTGACACTTGTTCTGCTGTCACCGGATGGGATTCGTACTACAGACCAAGTGGGTGAATTAGTCCATGTACAAGAAAGCCACACAGGAAAATCCTTGTATCTGTAACCAACGTAGAGAAAGTCTCTCTTGGAATAATGGCAGTTTGTTGCAGGACTGGACCCGAGTTTCCTCCATAATACCACTGGAGTTTTGATGAGTTAATTTTCAAAAGACCTCAGGTCCTGTGGGCTATTCTGGAACTGTGCACAGAGATTGCATTTATTTTATTCAACAATGACTTTTGGAAAAAGGTGAAGAAATTAATGGGACTTCATTTCTATCCTGAAACAGATGATAGAATGATACCAAAATCAACTTTAAGTAGTTAAGAAAAATATATCTGCAACCAAGGTAGTAATGAATTGCCCAGTTAAATATCCTACTCCTGGAAGATTAGCATAATTCTGACAGTGAGTGTAATAGTTTTTGTAAGTAGTATGTTTTCCTGGTAATTCTGGTTATTCTTGCAGACAAGGATACAAAGCATTTGCAAAAAAAATATTTTCTCCTGGTTAGAGCCTACAGTACTTCTAATGAAGAATACTTGCCTTCTATTTAATATCTTAATTTAAAAGTGTGGTTGTGTTTTAAAATTTATGGTTGAGTATGTTGCCAAGCATATTTTTCTATCAAAAATTCTTTTCTCCTCAAGGGATGTTTTTTGATAATAGGAGCCTTCTTAAGGATGAAGTTGGACTTGGGCAGGCATTGTATATGCTACAATTCAGTGTATATTCTGGGTTCAAAAAGTATGGCTTTACTCCTGTATGGTTTGGTTTCTAGCATCCTATTCTGAATATTCTGTGAGGAAGGGAATTGCATTTGGGGCATATAGGAAATAGTCCTAATAGATTTCAAGAATTTCAAATTCTTAAGTGTTGGTGCAGACTTTACAAGAAGACTTTATGGTTGGTCTCAGGGACCTGGGATTCCTGAAGGCAGGTTCTACCCATAAAGACTAATGTGAAAGAGGCAGAGAGAAGGCCTTTTCTGCATCCTAGTCACCAGATAATCAGTCACCTGCTCCATTCAGCAGCAGGCCAAAATTTTGCTTATTCGTTCTTTCTAAT